AGAGTAGAAGAGTGAGCTGGTCAAGTGTGAAATGCTGCTTGAGTTACTCCAAATCAGTATATATTTATATAAGCAAGAGAGTGAAAAAATGGAGAAAGAACACCTTTAATTTTTGAATTTGGGAAGTTCTTAATGATTTTTCCCATCCACTCCTAGGTAGTACACTACTAGGGCAGGAACTGAGGCAGAAAACAAATAAACGTGAATTCTTTTTACATTTAGGAATTGAAACTGTGTACAATATAGTTTGAAAATCATTCACTTATGATAATTATTTATGCCATGATATGTGGTCTGAAAACCATGAATTTAGGGAGCTGGGTGCTGCCTTCAACATGAGGGACTTTGTCTCTCATCCAGTCTGGAAATTCTTTCACATTAGTGTGAAGGACCTAACGATGGTCTTCCCATTTCTTTTCAACTCTTAGCACTGAAAACACACGACTTAAAAATGTGTCCAGTGTCACTTGTAAGGAAATTGTCTTCAAGACAGTTTCAACTCACATAGACTTAGTTTATGTTAGCATGTCACTTAAAGGAAAATGGCCACCCAAGAATCTTCTAAGCTTCCCACTACCATTCTTGATTCTTAGACTTTTTGTCCATGACAGAGAAATTTTACATCTATATCTATGTATCACATCTATCATTTATCTACCTACTTAAATCTACTTACCATAGTTTTGACTAATCTACAGTGTTCTGGTTTCTTCCCAAATATTCATGATTTTGGGGCCTTTTTAAAATTTTCTTTTTTAATCTGGCAATCATAATTTTTTAAATTTTATTTTAATTTCCTTTATACATTCAATCACATATCTCACTTAGCTTGTAAAGTGAATGTCCAACATGAATACATTTCTCACTAGTCCAGTTGGGGATACTATACATGTTATCATCAACAGATAATAACCCATTTCTTAGTCCCATAAACATCTTGCCTCTCTGTTTTTCTCCTTAATGTCTTTCTTCACACTCTCCTCCTTCTCCCACCGTCTTTCCACACTTTATCTGGTATCTGTAATCATTTCCTATGTTTCTATATCCTCTAATCATTAAGTTTATTCCATAGAGTGTGGGGAGTTAGTATATATTAAGTGGAGACATACAGTGTCTCTCCTTCATAGACTGGCTTGCTTCACTCAGCAGTAAATCTTCCATATTCATTCACTTTTTGTCAAAAGCCAGTGTCTTGCAGTTTTTTATGGCTGAGTGCTTTCTACCTTTCTGTCTTCCTTCCTCTGGCAAGTACACACACCCTTTGGTAAATAAATTTTAAAAAATAATAAAAAGACCAACCTAGAATGAGAGAGAAATCTTTGGCAAGCCTGCATCTGATAAAAGGCTAATATCTAGAATATATATAGAGCCCTTAAAACTCAACATAAACAAACAAAAATAACAATTCATTTTTTTAATGGGCAAAAGTTGTTTCTTTTTAAGTTTATTTTTTCCCATGAATAAGATAGAGACAGAGAAAGGGACACAGGATCCCCAAAAGGGTCTTTATACTATAATCCACTCCCAACTTTAGCTAGATTGGATCACATGCTCAAGGAGGTTTTGAGCATGAACCCGAAACCTGTGTTCAGTTGTATTACCACTGCTCCACTCTCTGGCTCTAAGGACAAAAGTTTTGAACAGATACTTTAAGAAGATATGTAAGTAGCACAAAGAAAATATGGGTAGTATTCTTAGGGAAAAGCAAATCAAGACTACACTGAGAAGCCCTTATTACGTAGTAATAACACAATGGTCTACAATGCTGGACCCACATGGGAATTTCCTGGCTTCATAACTTAAGCCCTCCTCATGCATGCTAGGTCTATGCGCATTTAACTGATCAATGCTGGGTGTGAATAAAGATGTGAAGAACCTGTTGGAGGTGCTGGTCCCCTCTGATCTCTCTCTGCCTCTCTCTCACGGAAGAAATAAATAAACTGAAAAAAAAAAAAACTATCAATTTAGAGATAGGCCACAGGTTCTTTGCAGAGGTCACTGTGTCTGTCTGTTTCAAACATGCTTCCATGAAACCCAGCTACTTCCTCATTCATCCCCTACCTCAATAGGCTGTTTAGAGCCTATTTTCAGATATTTCCTTAATGATTCCTCAGAGAACCCCAAGATCCTCTTCCTGGATCACAATGAGTGGTTCCCCTCACAGGAATCTGAGGTTGTTATCAATTGCCAGATCACCGGGACCTCTGCACTTTCCACCTCTGCCTGTCCATGTCTTAGTATTAAGACCATGATGATGTGGCTTTGAAGAACTTTGCAAATTCTTTCCTTCACCATTCTCATGAGGAAAGGGGACAGGCTGAGAAACTGATGAACCTGCATAACCAGTAATGTAGCCAAATCCTCCTTTAGGATATCAATACACCAGACCATGGCAACTGGGAGAGTGGGCTGAATGCCATGGCATAGGGACTTCCTCAGTGTCTAAGGCAGTGTATACACTTGGGTTTACTTTATCTTTGTACCAAAACAGTCTCTTAAGTTCTTTTATGTGCACTACATCTCCTAAAAAACCACACCAGTTCTTAGAGGAAATGACATCATTTTTCAGCATATTGTTTCATGCTATATAAAAGGATTTACGTTAGTTAGACAGTTGACAATTTAGAGAATTAAGGCTCAGATGATGGTGCAGCAATGAAACACAACCCTCTGTGAGACTGACTCACATGGGAAGGTTCTGGGTTCATGTCCAGAGATCATCCTGGGTACACTGGGCATGTGTGTGCCCATGATTTGGTCTGCCTGAAGCTGAGGGTGGATTGTGGCCTCAAACCGTTTTTGGGGGTGCTGTCTCTCTATCTCTCTCTTGGAAAGAATAAATACACTTAAACCAAAAAGAAGTGAGAGGATTAGCAGAGTAAGTGAGCATTCTTTCTAGTAGAAATTGGTGTAAATAGATAGACTTTATCTGGTTAAACAAATAAGATAGTTGGAGGGTTGGCCCATGGATCTGGTTCTCAACTGAATTTCCACCCACAGTCCAGCAGCCACAAGTGGCAAGGCTGTTTGCTCCCTCAGTGCATAGCATACAATAGCTCCATGGGTTTCAGGATCAAAAATTCAAAGATCACTGAGGAACATGCTCCTCAGTAAAATTTGACCAGGCTTCTCTCAGAGTTCATGGCTGTGTGTCTTTGCCTTTATAAGGCTCCTCTTTTTATCTTGTTCTGGGTAACTGTGTGTGGTCTCCTTCTCCTTCCTCTTCTTTGACTCTCTATTTCTCCTCCCTTTTCTTTGACTCTCTTAACTATATCATGAAGTTAAAATTTGTTTTTATTATTTTATTTATTGAATGGGATGTTTGAATTGCCCCCCTTAAGAGCAGATGGGTGGCATAGGTCATTCGTTTCAAAACTACTCTAATTACAATGAAACAAAATCTAGCTGCTTTATGCTTTTTACTTATATGGCCTTTAGTTTGCTTTATTCTGTGCTGGTGGCCAGCTATCATGCTGCTGTGAAGTAGCAAATAACTTAGTGAATTATTGTAGTTCATAGATTTGTTAGTAAGTGAGGTAAAAAAAGTGCATTACGAGAAATTTGACAACATATGTATATCCTATTTTTCTCTTTAGGACTTTTGTCAGATGTGGTTTCTAATAAAAATGTAAAGATTAAATAAACCTAATTAGGTGTACCTATTTTGAAAAGTTTGCTTACTTAATGAAATTGCTATAATGTTCTAAAAGTGACTTAGCAAAGCTCATTCAATTATGAAATCAGTAGCTTCCAATGCAAAACATGAGTTTTCTAATATTGACTTTGGCCACTTGTTTCATCTTTGGATGAGAAGGCAATTGTGCTCATACTATTTGTTGTAACAGTACTTGAGGGGGACTGGTTTTAGAAACTCAGTTTCACACGACATAAAACCCCCTGAACTTCTAACAAAGTTTACCTCATAAATTATTACTGATCACCTGTGAGTCTGGTATTCTACCTAAAGAAAATAAAGACAGGAATAATGGACCTTAGCCACAGTTATGGTGCTCATAAGTACATTATTATTAAATAATAATAAAGGAAAGCACATAAGAAAAAAATATGAAATTTCCAGAGATTTTAAGCAAAAAGCCTCTAAAATAACTTAATCAATCCTGCAAAGAGATTAATGAAAAAAATTCTGCGTGAAGTCCTATGCCTCTGCTTCTCTATTACATTTTATTATTTTAGTCACAGAAAATAAACAGTATAAGACAGGGGAAGTTCTTTTGAAATACAAGTTGGAGAGAATGTCTTTAGCAGTTCCTTTATTGTATCATCATTTCTTTCCAACTCTGCTCTTACTCTGTGACTTCCTTATAAAGAAAAGTTATAAAATTTCCAGAATTACACCCACCTGCGGCTGCAAGATTTAGTGATGGGAGCATTTCCAGAGGAAGAGTTCAGCTACATTCTCTCCGACCTCTGGAGATGTAAAACAGCCTCCTCATAACAGAGAGAGGCAAGGCCCTTCGACAACAGCCAATGATTCAGAGGGACCTGTCTGCATCTTCTCTCTAACCATGGACCTTTCTGGTCTATGTGGAAAAAAACAATGCTACTTATCCAACTACCATCATCATATCAGCATACTAAGTGAAAGATAGAATGTTACTTCAAATTTGGAGTAAGAGGCCACCGTAGGACAGGCAGAAATTACATGAGTGGCTCAAATTAGAACAGATTTTGGCTTTGGCTCGTTCCTTCACCAATCTCCTGAGGAAAGGGTAAGGAACAGCCCGCAGGCAGGGCACACTTTACCGCATTAGCTGAAGTAACTTCAAGCAAGACAGTGACTCCTCACCCCTGCCTGGGAGTGGATCTGGAGGCCGTGGCCTTCCTGATGTTCTGAGAGACAACCCTTGCAGCAGGGTCTGATAGTGTAGCTCTTCCGTTGCCATCTGAAGTTAGTACTAGGCTCAGAAGGCTGGGACTGAGATACCAAGGCCTTGGACGATTAATTTGAGACTTGGCCCTAGAAATTTTTTGCTGTGTAGTCTCCTTGCCTTCCTAAAGCTAAGGGAGCTGTACCCCATACTACTCCCATCTCCACTATTCAAGCTTCGTACAACAGATTACAGGCTGGAAATATTCTTGCAAATCCCATCTCCTGGAAATGTCTCTTCCCTCATCCAATGGGCACCAATCTTACAAGAGGCAAAGTTCAGATTCCTGAGGAAGAGGAGTGGGTATGAATATTAGCAGTGAGTATTGATTTCTACCAAGTGGATTAACCTGAGGCTGGAGCTGGGTTAAGATAAGCCTGGCATCATTAGGTAATGAGAATTTGCCAGAACTTGTTCAAGTTAAAATGTCACTCAAAATTAAAGAAGGAGAAGTGGGAGAGAGGACTCAGTATGGAACTTTCTTTTTGGTAATAGTTACCAGCTGAGGGCTTTCTTTGTTCTACATGGTCTAATCATATTTTTAAAAATTGTTATCACAACTACAGTGGGTAAATAAGCAAGTATTTTCAATAAATATTTATAGATAATTATTCTGTGTTGGTTAAATGCTTAATTATGAGGAGGTAGCTGAGAACAAATAAGAGATAATCTTTGCCCTTTGGCACCTACATTCCATCTACACATGCCTTCATGTTGCAGATGGTGAAGCCAGGACTCAGGAAGGTTAAGTAACTTACCAAGGAGAATAACTTGTAAATGATGGAGCTGGAACAGATTCAAACCCTGATCCTCTGACTCAAATGTTTTTCTTTTAGCTCTATACCAGCATTTTTTTTCCCATATTTGGCACCCACTACCCAATATCTTATCATAAACTAGAATGTGCCATTGATAAACCTGACTTCAGCTTTTCTCTCTTCATTCAAGATTAGGAAAATGCACCTAGGAGACAGTCAGTTTTGTAGGAGCATTTTAAAATCTGCTCTAGTTTATTTTACTTTAAATAAATCTTTCAGAAATATCATCAGTTTAGTTATAGTGTTAACAAGACTTACATTTGAGTGTTAGACACCAACTATCCCTATTCAGTGAGTCATTTGCTAATGACATGCCTGTCCTATGCTCTTCCTAGAGTGGGTCACAAAGGAGAAACATGACTGCTGGCCTCAGACAATGGCTCTGCATTTACAATGATAGAGTTATCTATTACTAGCATTCTGTGAAATTCCCTTCCTCCTCTGCTGGAGGCTTATGAGACCAGGTTTGCTCATTTGGATAATCTCTCAGTGAAGAGCCCTGGAAAACTCAACATTGTCTCATTGAAGTGAGTCATTAAGGCCTCATCTAGTAGGCACTGCTGTCTTAGGATCAAATCACAGGTAGAAGATCTCAATATTCTTATTGCAGATGGTAGAACTGGGCCTTTGGATTTGGTTATGTTTACTTAGAAAGATTATTACAGGCTAATCTTTATTCTATAGATACGGTTCTCACTTAGCAAGACTTTTGTCAGAAAACAAATATTGAGATATCCCTCCAAAAAGTGATTTGATAGAAAAATACCTTTTCACATTACAAAAAAAGTGAACAAATTATTATATATGTACTTATTTATTGATTAATTCTAACAGAAATAATTGACATTGTAAGTAAAATCAAGTTGAACTTTTTCTGGATAGGAAAATGCATCTACTAGGTGTCTGTAAGGGAGCAAGTCACCAGTGTAGGCAGTTCAAGTATATACAGTTTAATGCAAGGAACTGAGTGCTTATGAAATCATTGGAAAGGATAGAGGAGAAGAAGTGAGCACTGCAACTGGACTTTTGTTTTCAAGGTCGCACACTTTGATTGCCTCTAGTGTTCAGGAGCCTGTGTCTACCTCTGTCTACACTTAGAAAGATGATGATAGACAGAGAAACATGAAGGCTAGCCCTCTTCTCAACACCTGCAGTCTGTCAGAATTCATGGTTAGCCAGCATAGATGCTGAAAGATGATCTGCCCTTTCCTCTACTTCCAAACCAATGAGAGCAGAACCTAAACCACACCCCAGGATTCAAAACCAGCTCCCCAGTTGCAAAGGTTTCTGAAATGTGGTTAGTATCCTAAACCTAAAATACAAGAAGAAGGAGGTAGGAATGGATGTAGAAGGTCAATATTTACTATCTAGTACACATCTTTGTTGAGTTAAACTAAAAGCAAATAAAACAGTGCTTGGTCACTTTCCATGAGCATAGTATTCCTATAAAACTAGTGCATCATCAGTACATAAAAGACTTCAATGGCTAGAAAGTAGTCAGTAAATTTATTATTTATGGTAATTCAACTTTGCTCTTTCTAAGAAAGTATGTGATTCCATTATTTTTAATTATTACCCTTATGATTCTTTTCAATTAAATATTTTGATCTGACTTTGCATATAAATATCTTGACTGTTTTGAGTGAAATGAATTATTAGTTAAACCAAATGTTCAAATTCTATTAATAAGTAAGTCATAAATACACTTAGTTTTCATTTTTAATTTTTATAACAGAAATTACAGAAAATTTTTTTCGACAGAGAATTTTACATTCTTTTTAAGAATGTCAGTTAAATAGTTCTTTCCTTTGCCCCTCCCGCCAACCATCTATCATCACTCCCCTCCCTTATAGTCTCTGAAATCTACACTTATCCTCAGTACTGTCATATCTTTGTATCTTTCCATTTCTGCTATAGTGCAGATGCTTGGTACATATTGAGTGGGGATATATAGTGTATGTCTTCCAAAATCTGGCTTACTTTGCTTAACATGAAGTCTTCTATATTCATCAACTTTGAATTAAATGACAAGATCTCATTGTTTCTTAGGGCTGAATAATATTCCATGTTATATATGTGTCATAGTTTTTCAATACAATCATCAGTTCTTAAGACACTTAGGTTGAGTCCATATCTTAGCAATGGTAAATGAAGCTGTAATAAACATGGATGTGCAAGTGTCTTTCCAACTGAGTGTTTACCTGTCCTTTGAGAAAATATCAAGGAGTAGGGTTACTGTGTTATATGGTAGTTGTATTTGTTCCTCTATTTGAGGAACCTCCATATTGTTTTCCACAGTGGTTGTGCTAATTTACATTCCAACCAACAGTGTAAGAGGGTTCCTTTTTTACCACAGCCTTGCCAGAACTTGTTCTTTGTTTTTTTGTTTTTTTTAATCCTAGACATTCTAACTTGGGTTAAATGATTTTTTATTGTGGTTTTAATTTGCATTTTGCTATGACAAAAATCTTTGAACACTTTTTATATGCTTTTTGGCCATTCATATGTCTTTCTTGGAGAGTTGTGTTTTCAATTTATTTACCATTTAAAAAATTGGAATATTCATATATTCAAATATGCATTCCCTTGTCTGAGGCATAAATTTAAAATATTTTTTTCCATTCTAAGGGTTGTCTCTTTAATTCTTTTTCCTTTGCTGTGCATAGGTTTTTTTTTTTTTAATTTGATGTAATCCCACTTGTCTATTTTTGTGATTTTTATCAGTGCATATGGGTCTTATTTAAGAAATCTTTGCCTACTCCAATGCCTTCAAGAGTTTTCCCTCAGCTCCCTACTAGTAGCCTTATTGTTTGAGGTTTTACATTTAAATCTTTGCTATATTTTGAGTTGATTGGTGAGAGATAGAGGTCCAGTTTTATTTTTTCTACAGGCAGATATTTTTCTGGCACCATTGGCTGAAAAGGCTTTCTTTTCTCTAATGAATTGTCTTGTACCCTTTGACAAAGATCAGCTGGCTGTATGGTTTGGCATTTGTTTCTAGATTCTCTATTCTGTTCCATTAGGGTATGTGTCTATTTTTGTGCCAGTACCATGCTATTTTGATTATTACTGCTTTGGATATATTTTGAGGTTGGGTAGTGAGATGCCTCCTATTTTATTCTTTTTGTGCAATATTGCTTTTTGATATGAAGTCTTTTATGATTTCAGATAATTTTTATGATTTTTTAAAAAAATTTCTGTGAATAATGTCACCAACAACTGGTTTGGAGCCACGCTGAATATGTAAGTTTATTTGGGTAGAACTTACATTTTGATTACAGTGATTCTTGCAATCTAAGAACAAGGGTTGTCTTTCCATATTTTTGTATCAAACTCAATTTCTTTTTTTTAGTTTTTCATAGTTTTCATTGTAGAAGTCTTTCACCTCTTTGGTTAGGTTCATTGCTAGGGATCTTATTCATTTTGTGGCTGTTATAAATGGGAATTCTTTCTTCAATTCTGTCTCAGACTGTTCATTGCTGGTGTATAAAAAGCCTATTGACTTTGTATATTGATTTTGTATCTTACTAACATACTGAATTCATTTAGCACTTCTAGGAGGTTTTTGTGGATTCTATTTTTACATGTATAATCATATCTTCTGCAAAGAGGGACACTTTAGCTTCTTCTTTTCCTGTCTAAATGCCTTTTATTTTGCTCTGTGAAACTTAGTTTTATAATTAGCCTAACTTATTCTAATGGTTGGTTAAGTTTTACTTTTTATGACTAAAATGAAATATAACTGATAAATTCAGTGAATTAATTTTTACTGTGGTTAAATTTCCTTTTCCTTTTTCTGTGATTAGATTTGGCATCTAACATATATCAGAATGCTATTTTTGTGTGTGAAGCACAAAAAAGATGAATGCATTGATACTTGCATAAAATTAAAAACATTTCGTGGCCTTCAGGGTCTCTAGACAATAGACTCTGAGGTAGAAACATGCACGTGGGTGAGTAATCGGTGAGTGCTATTGGGAGAAATACTTAAAAGGAATGAGACATGAAAGATAGGGAAATTGGAGTTGTTATGCTATGGTTCAGTTGTTTCCTTTTTTTTTTTTTTTTAATTGCCAGTGGATGCCTTCCTGCCCGGAGGGGGGGTTCATTCCTGCCAGAGAGAGAGAAAGAGATACAGAGAGGAGACAGAAAGAACTCCCTCACTGGTACATGGTCACACTGCAATCCTTTCTCCTCCATTTCTCCATCCCACCCAGACCTTGGGCATGCATTTACATGTCTAGCATGTCCTTCAAGATGCTGAGGCTAGGATTCAGACTGTATTCAGCCATGCAGGATCTGGTTCCCTGAGGAACCAGGCTATGAAACTAGCCCAAATATGATTCAGTGTTTTTAATTTGCCAGAAGACATGTGCACTCACCAGAGAGAAATGGGGGAAAGGCCCCTCAAGGGGCATGGTAATGCCGCAGTCTTATCTCTTAATTTTGTTGGGATCTTGGGCATGCTTGCATATACAACTGGTG